TGTTGTCTTTGTACAATTTCTGTTTGGGAATATTTAATATTCTTCCTCTTTTAAATTTACTTTGTTGTTTTAATATTCATTTTTTTAAAGTTACGCTTTTATTTATAGTTATAGAAATAAATTCAAGGGAATAGAAATTTAGAAATTACATATAGCGTTTCGAAATTATCAGCAGAATTAGAAATTAAAAACAAATGAGAATAAAAATTATTCGTGTTCGTTTTTATTTTTTAAAAATAAGGATCTTTCCGACACTAACTATAGCTAGACTCGCAAGGCAAATCTTGGATTTTGGACCGGATGTGTTCAAATGGGAAACAAAGGCATATTGTTTTTGAATATCGTTGTTGGAGTTTTTGCTTTTAAGTGATTCTTTTGTTATTTATTTATAAAATTTCTTTATTTTGACATTTAAAAAAATCTACTCTTTGCGTGTGTCCTTGTTCATCTATCAGTGGACCTGCGCCTGACACAGAAAGATTGTAAAAAAGAAACATTTTGTTTGGTTTCAAATTGCAAATTGAATCAGAAAAAGAAAGAAAAACACTGGCTTGGCACTTAACGCCAGGAAACGGTCAGAAAAACATTTGTTTTCGTGGAGATATTTAACCACACGACCACTCGAGAACGGAATGAGACACACAGTCGGGGTTAAAGGGGGTCTGTAGTCTACTCGTCCTTCCGCATTTGGGGACGCCAAGTAATCATTCAAGTTCCTTTCAGAAAAAAGATGTATTGTCTGTGGGTGACGACCCTGTGGCTAGAACACATAATATATTAATTTTTAACCCTTCGATACGCTTCGACCAGGATTCATTAGTTACTTCACATTGTTTTGAAAATAGAAGTTTTTTTAAAAAATATTTTATTCTTTTCAAAACATCCCTAGTTATTCCATATCTTACTGGTATTATTTTAAAATAACGTCTTCTTTTTCCATGTTATTAACATTTTGCTTGAGGTTCGCATTTTCTTGATTTCAGATGAAATTTTGGAAAATTTTCAACATGATAGTTTATAATTATAGTTTAGATATAAAGAAAAAAAGTAGGCGTCAATTTAAAATGACGCTAGGATGATATGAAACATTTCGTTTTAAAATGCTTTGATTTTGAACTGAACCAGATATATTTTGCATATCCCGTTACCTACTCGTTAAAGCAAGAACAAGACTATTATAAACACCTAAAACCCATCAGTACCAATTTTGCGAGGTCAGAGACAACAACTAAGGTTAAAATTTAAACTACTTATATAATAAAGTGGCAAAAAAATTTCTCTACATGCTAGCAAAGATTTCAACTGTATAAATAAATATATACTGTATAAAATAGTAAATCCGACATTGCTGACAAAGTTAACCTGCCCGTTGGTCTCGAAAACGACCTCCAATCTCTGGTTGACTGGGGCAGGAAATGGCTTCTGAATTTTAATGCATCCAAAACGAAACTGCTGTCATTTACTTACCATACAGAGACTTCCCTGCCTCCTATCAGCATGGTTGATACTCAACTCCACGAGAGCGTCTCACTGCGTCTTCTTGGTCTCACGTATTCCACTGACCTGAGGGGGAACAACTACATTGCATCAATAGCTGCATCTACCGCAAGGAATATGATTTTTATGATTGTTATAAAATAGCAAAAATTCTTTTCCCCTTACTAGTAAGGATTTCAGCTTTTTATATATATATATATATGTCTGTATGTGTGCATGATGAAAAAAGGTCCTAAGCTTAATAAAAAATAGGTTTTATCGTCAAAATGTTTAAGTTATTATTAAGAGAAAGGACCAAAGTATATTTTTATGAGTTTATTAAATTTTTTAATCCTTTCTAGCACATTCGAAATTCATTTTTACATCAACGGTCGACGTAATATTTATCATTAGTGTTGTATCGCCTTTTTTCCGGTGAAAAATACATTGATTTGGCAATTCTTGCAAAAATCAAATAATTGTCGGATTTTAATGAAACTTCCAGTATTTATTTATAAATGAATGAAATTATTTTTTAATTTTTTTTTAGATAATGCAATAAAATAGGATATTATTTAATTAGAAAAGCTTTTAATTGCTTTTATAAATAAGATTTATGAAGGACACTATTGACTTAAGAAAAACAAATTTCAATGAATAATGAAATTTTGCAAGAATTGTATTCATTTTTGTAAAATTTTAATTAGGTTATATTCTTATTAAGTGAAAACTATGTTTACGGATAAAAATCGAAAAGCTCAATAAAAGTCGTTTACACCCAATATTTATTTAAAAAAAATAATTTTAATTTTTAGTTTATAAAAATTCCCATTTTGTAAGTATAGTAATCTATACATGACATTATCCTTAAAAGGTCACGTGTTCTACCGTACAAAAAATTTTGGTTGTCTGCAATTCTTTCATTATTCATTTCTTTGTTTCATCGTGTTTATGCCTCTGCAAATCATCCCTTCCAATTTTTAAGTAAGTTTTAATTTTTTAATTATTATTTCATTAAATATTTTTTTTTTATATGGTTTAGAGTATTGGACTAAAAAATAAGTGTAAATAATTACGTAATTAACAATAAAATTTAAAGCACTATAAAGAATTAATAAATAAAATAACTTAACATTTCGTAACAATCATGATAACAATTAATAATAAAGATTAAATTGAAAAATAAGATATTAAAAGATATAAATTAATAAAAAATAAAATGCCATAACATTTTATAAATTATTGAGTTACCTATATCATGGTATTTCAAAATATCCTTCTTTAGCCTTCATTACTGCAGCACAAATTTTTGGCATTCGTTGCAAAAGTTTCTCAAGGTCTAAGTTTCATAATTGATTTCATTCTTTTTTCAATTACTCTAAGAGCTTTTTCTTTTCATTTTTTTCACTCTTCTGTCAAGTTCATCCCATGCTAATTCTGGGGGTGGCCTCAAACTTTTGAACTGTATATATATATATATATATATATATATATATATATATATATATATATATATATATGGCCATTGAAGTTAACACACAGAATTGACTGTCTGTTTCATGCTTAGCCAAATCGTCAGGCTATCGACGATGGTGCTTAAGCATGAAACAGATTTTCCATTGAGTGTTGTGTGAACTTTTTATTTTTTACATACGCTCTATCCCTAATATTGACCACTTTAACCCATAAATATAGCATACCTTAAAACTATATATATATATATATATATATATATATATATATATATATATAAACGAAGAATTAAGAATCTTCCAATACGGATGTACAAATTTCAATAATTTTTATTTATATGAATATTAATTTTTCTATCAAATTAAAAGAAATAAATTACAAAGATTCTTTGCGAAACAACTTCACACAAAAATATTTTGTGCATCTTTTTTATGGTACAACTTAATGAATTGCGTTAGTATAGGATAAACGTCAAATGCGTCTATGTATGAGCAGATCAATGTGATACAGGTTTACATTGTTTCCACTGTGTGTATGAAATTGTTGTCGTCAATTTCATGAAAAAAGGCAATAAGTTAGTTGCTACTGTCGTCACATGTAAACAAGTTAGCGTGATGTCGTCTCTATCACTAAACATTTTTTGTAATATTGGTATACTCAAATAAATATGTGAAAGATGTTATTAAGTGGGAGAATTTCAGTTTCATTTGTGTAACAAAAGATCGATCAAACACCCTGGTCAAAGGTTCACTGAAAGACTCGTTAGCGAACAAGAATTGATCATATTTATAATAAAATAGTAGGCTTCGGATGAATATAAAATTTAGATTTATTAATCTCAAATCTTAGCTTCCTGGCTAATATATTTTTCACAATTTTTAAATATTCCTTTAAAGGAAGAAAAATATTGTTGAGCATATTCTGAAGTTGAACCTTCAAAAATTTCATTTTTTAACGGATATTTTATCGTCTGCCAATTCAAAGAATACTGCGCGTCTCGCACGATATCACTGGGTGGTTTATATTTATGAATACAAAAATTCAAATATCTGGAGCCTGTCAATGTAAAAAAAAAGAAGAGTTTTCAGTGTTAGTACTTAAATCTATTAGCATGTTTTTATAATTCTGAAACGGGTCTCCACATATATATGTTACTTCAAGCGTTATGATAGTAGACACTTATTTGAAATAGACACCCCATTTTTTATTTATTTATTAAACAGTGTGTAATACGTCTATCAGTGTGCGCATTCGAGAAATCTAACAGAAGAAAATGTGTCCTCCTGTAGGGATTGAACCTGCGTTTCCCTTTATTTAGGTTTCAAATGAGATAGCATGACTGGAAACAGTCATGATCAGAAGAATGTTAGAATATGAATGTGACTTGCTGTCACTTGATCTCGAATATAAACCACCAGTTACAACGATCGTAAACCCTGAAGGGGGTAATAATAATCTTTGTATTCACATCTAGCATTATGTATTATATTCGTGGCTATCTCTTGAGTTCTATGATGATATTCGGTTGGGTTTGTGGACTCTGGGTTGGCTAATGAGACCAATGTTTGCTTGAAGTGTCCTTCGACATTGAGGACAGGTTGTTTCGGATGGTGGATTAGTTCTTGGTTGTTGTTGTCTTTCTTTTTGACGTCTTCTTTTTTCCTCTAGTTCAGCTGATCGTTTGGATTCGAAGATTGTTGTTCCGTCTCTGACAATGGATCTCCGGAGATTTCTGTCCTTTAAGCTGAATTTCCAGCTATCGATGTCAATTTTGTGCTTCTTCATGTTTTGTTTTAGAATGTCTTTGAATCTCTTCTTTTGATCACCCTCTTTTCCGATTTCCTTCTTTGAGTTGGGAGTAAAAGATTTGCTTTGGTATTCGGTTGTCATCCATTCACTCCAGATGTCCATTCCATCAAAGTTGATTTTTTATGACGATGGTTTCAATGCTAGTCATTTTAGCTTGTTTCATGTTGTCGATGCTTGTTCTTCTATCTTCCCAATTGATGTATTGCGTTATATTATATATGTAAGTCGTATAAGCTTTGACTTCCGGTCATATCACTTTCAAACACTGGTTCTCGTACGATCATCAAAGTTAAGCATCGTCGAGCCTGTTCAGTAACTAGATGGGTGACCGCTAGGGAATACCAGGTGCTGTAAGTTTGGATGTACGAACAGTGTAATGGATAAAGAAACTGAAAATCGGAGAACCGAGTTCCAATTCCAATCGGGTTTATTATATTCATTTACGTGCAAGTACCCTTGGAAAAGGTATGAATCCACGTCTTCTCCTCCGGTCATAGGTTAATTAGTAGATTTTGTCTCAGTAAATCATTGTTATTTCCAAAAAATTCTAACAATCGAAAAATATTTTCTGTTTTTAAAAAAACCTGAAAAGGTAGATAGTCCGTAAAAAATATCAGTATATCAATCAATATAGACTCCCCTCTGTAGTATAGAGACACAGCCTCATCACACCGTTTCCGTAGCAAGCAGTTTTTTTACGGAGTGAGGTTGCTAGATTCAAGTTGAAACGGTTTTGAATTCAGAGCCGTTCTTCTAAACTGGTTGACATCCAGAGCTAGTATGTCTTCACATTAACATCAAGAGAAATAGACAGATCCATGCCGTTCCACGAGTATTTAGACGAAAGCGAACGCAACGGCTTCGGGTGGAATTTGAACTCTGTACGCCAATTACCCTTTCCACGCCATTAACAGCTACGCTACACACATGTATATTATATTATATCATATCATATTATTATATTTCTGAGAGATTTACTGTTGCAGTTTAAAGTAGGCCTTTCTTTAACACTCATAGTTGCACGAAATGGCGGAATGGTTGGACACTTAATTTATCTTCGGTATTTCTTTTCATTTAATTATAGTTGTTGTTTATTGTTCTTTTGAAGCCTTTAATTCTATTTTATTGTCATTGTCAATAAACCAGTGGGTCATAAGATCTCTACAATGGAAAAAGAAAAAACAATCGCATTTATCTTATTGTCAAGGTTTAACATTAACAGAAGACTAAAGAAACTTATATCTAAAAATGCAAATTTTATTTCTCCTTTCTCCTAAAATCAATTTATTGTCATTCTAGAAATGGTAATAATTTAGAACTGGTAATTGTAATAGTGATGTTAGCCGCTTCCATATAAGGAAACATTCGGCATTCGTTGACCGAACAGCCAGTTCAAATTTCGGTAGAAATTTATAAAATCTTTCTATTAAAATAATCTTTCAGGAAAATAGGTCTCATGTCCAATAACTTAACATTCTTTCCAGTACTGACGGGGGCTCCCTTCCTAACATCTTACTTGAAGTAGTTTTCAATATCAGCATCTTGTTTATATCATTGTTTCCTCTTCGAGTTAGGTGTGCTATCCATTTTTGCTGTTGCTGCTGTTAAAATTCCTCAAGTGATGTGGTTTCTGTCATTTGGTACAGTTCTTTGTAATTTTCTAGCTCCAAAACGAAAAATGGCCCCCCTAAGACCTCCAGGCTAAAACCGTTCGAAGCCATGTTTAATCATTGAACTGAGAAAACGGTTGTATACAGCTAAGAGTTTAGATATTTCTGAACGAGTTGGGCTTCATGCATGACATACATAATAAAGTCTCGATCTTACGAGGCTATTTAAGAACATGACTCGAGTTTTCAGGTTAATGTTTTGGTTTTGTAGCAATTGATGGTGTTGGGCGAAACCATTTCTAGTGCAGCCTATTTTATATTCAGTTTCCTTTTTTTCCTATACTAAAATTGTTATAATTCACCCATACACTGAGGTATTTGAATGGTTTAGTATTTATTAATTTCATATCCTGAACTTTTATGATGTATTCAGTGTATGTGCCATCATGGCTTTCCTTTCAATTCCAGATCATAGTTTCTCTTTTGGAAAGGTTTATCTTGAGTCCCATTTCTTGGAACATTTAGCAGAGGATGTTGATTTTTACTCAAGATCATTCTCACCCTAACTATGAATACCTATGTCATTAGCATGGGCTAATCATCAACATATTAGCAAAACAGGAACGCTGTTTTCATTTGCAGATTCGTTTTGGATGTGGCGCGCAATGCTTAAATGATCTGTACCCATCTCCTCACGTCTGTGCTTGTATATGCGCAGGGCATAGTCTACAACGCGACTAAATAGCTTTGGTTTCTCATTTCATCTTCGTCGTACTCCTGATGAGGTTGGTAATGTTTCGGTATTGGGGTTCTCGTCAGACATGTACGACAAAGGGTTACCGAGTGTGAAAGTTACAAGAAAAAAGACACATTATTAAGGAGCGATAAGAGTAATTAAAAGACAATAAATGACAGTTGACATTGCATTTAATTTTTTTGGAAAGCATGGAAAGCATAGAGTCGGAAGAGAGTTCCACAAGCGAGAAGTACGAGGAAAGAAACTCTTAATATAGAATTTACGGTTACATATAGCCAATTCAACTGTAAATTGATGAGACCCTGTTACTAATCTAGTACTGCGCTTAAATTCATAAATTCTAGGTACCATAGAGGAAGGTTCATCGGAACAAGTACCATGAAAGGATTTATAGAAAAGGCACAGGGAAGCTACATTACGGTGGTGGGAAAATGGCTGAAGATGCAAGGTGAGGACCAATAACAATGACCAATGCTGATTCTTCTTTGGATTTTATCAAGAATCTAAATATATAACAGGAACAGCAGGCTATATATGGGAACAATATTAAAAGCAAGGACGAATGAGAGACTAATAAATCTGTAAAATAGCTTCTGACGAGAAAATTGTCTAGCACGACACAGTGAACCATGGGTAACTGTTTCTAATGGATGAGGAGAGAAAGTCTGTAATGATGTGGTTATATACTGTTGTAAGGTCAACATAGGGTATACAATTTTCTACTGGAGAGCTATGCAATTTTCTGGAGTTGTTTGTTGACTTATATACTATCATTATATCCCTTAACACAGCAAAAACAAAATTGGGTTGTGAGAAGTTGACTAATACTTGTCTCATGGTCAAATTAAGTTACAAGAACTGATTTCTGTCATATCGCAGCCATCCTGCAACCTTTTTACCGCCGATAAAATGTTGCTAGCCTCTAGCTATTCTCTCGCTGTTTCTATAGCAAATGTTCGGGCTAGCTATATTCCTGAGTTCCAGCCGTCCATTCACAGCAACTTGCATAGGGTCAGATCATCCTTATTCCCTTCATATTCCATTAGTAATGAAGAAATTCCACTCAGTCAGCTTCTTCCCTAGAACTGTGACTTTTCGGAACAGACTCTCAGGCAGATGCTTCTTGACCACTACAATATTAACCTCATCTAGGGGTCAGCCGTTATCTGTCTTACATATCTTCATAAAATGCAATTCTTTTCCCTCCATTTACGCTCTTTAAAACAACTTTATTTAGTAACTATCTAGCTTCAGTGGGACTTGTATTGGGTGAAAAATAGTATAAAAAAGCAATAGATCTGCTTGCTATGAAGACTGATATGAGTTCCTTGAATACACAAAAAAATAGAAGTAACAGTAAAATAAGGATGTATTTTTTATCAGATCTCATGAGAACGAGACGACCAACTAACAATTATTATCAAAAGATAAAATCTTAACAAGATACGCAGATGTTACTGGGCTGATGGCGGACTTAGAAGGAAAGTTGAAAAACTCTTAGACAAGTAGTAAAAAGAAAGTAAGAAGAAAAGACTGATCATTACCAATAAGAAAACAGAACGCACGGCCGTCAGCAAAAGAGACTGTCGAATGTGTGAGCTACATATTGGGGACATGAAAATGAAGTATGTACAGAAATTCGCGTTCACAGATTATGGAGAGGAATAACAAAAGATGCCTTCTAGAAACTCAGCGATAGAAAAAAATTTTTAAAACAAGGAAAAATGGCTTGAGGTGCTGTGCAACATCTAGTCACCGATATGGCAGTGAATGCCGAATAATCTCTTCACAGATGAAGAAGCGAGTTGAAGCGACCGTGATGTAGTCCTATTGACGAATGCAAATAACATGGTTAGAACGGAGATAGAAAAAGAAACAAAGAAAGAGATGATCTGAAATGCCTTGTAGCATCTAATCTCTTATATAGCAGTAAATGTTGGATAATTTCTCTCACAGAAAAAGAGGTATCAAGCTAGAAATACCAAGAACAAAACATGCGAGCAATGGGAAAGTTTTATGGACAACGCAAGATTAACACAGGAACAACAAATTTGGATCTCGGTTAGTCTGCCCTAATCCACCCGCCATATTTGCCTGGATTTGCACCAATTAATTATTACCTTTTACGATCCCTGCAAAAAAACATTGCTGGGAAAACCTTGTCATATGAAAACCAGATTCAAGAATTTGTCGAAAACCTTTTCACATCAAGACCTGCAAAATTTTATTCAGAAAGTATCGAAGAGTTGTTTGATAATTGGTAACAAGTCATTACAAACAATGGTGAATATATAATTGAATAAAATATAATTGTATTTTATTTTTAGAAGAATAAATTGATTGATTCGTTTTTCTACGGCTTATCAACTCTTTGCAGGTTATTTAAAGACAGAAAATATTTTTAGATTGTAAGAATTGTTTTTGAGATAATAATGGTTTAGTGATACAAGTCTTACTAATTAACCCATAGCTTTGAGAGAAGGTGTGAATTCACACCTTTCCTAAGGATATTTGTGAATATAACGAATCCAACGTAATCGACTCTCTGATTAACAATTCCGAGCCATTATCCATAACATCACTCGCACACCCAAGGTTACAGAATTTGGAAGAATAAAGTTGATAATTAAAAACGGAAATTATTTATGACTCAGCATATTTTTAAATTATTTCATCCAAGCAAGGCAATAAAGACGCTAAGATGCAAGTGGTTATTGAGTGTAAAGGAATATGATGAAGAAGCACTATTAGGTAGAGAGAACAATACTTTGATTATTGCAACTTTTCAGTTCATGACCCTAACTACTGAGCTAAACCTGCAATTCATTTAATCTTTGCTAATTGTTTTAGATTCACCATAATATTTTTTTTCATTTATTTTCTTCTCTTATTGACCTTTCTACATTTATAATATTTAAGATTTCAGTTTGGCTTCGCCTTTTGTGAATGCAATTGTTGAAAACTACAAACGACAACTTGATGTACCT